TCTCCTCTCTTCCCCCCGCCCCCCGGCCCCTCCACTCAGGGAACAGATACTGTGCTAGTTTTATGAGACCGTTTTTAAAGCCTCCTTCGGTGTTCATTAATGGCGCCTCCTTCGGTGTGCGTTAATGGCACGAGGCCTAAGCACAGTTCAGTTCAAAAGTAATTTCACAAAGAACTAAAACTATTTGATAGTGTTGTTGCCACAAAAAACCAGAACATCACCACTTCAATGTGTGTGCATACATACATATATATTTCCATACACACACATACACTGTACTTTAAGGTATTTGATTAAAAACATGAGTGAAAATTTGCTCAGAAACCAGAAGTACAGTAGAATGGTGGAATGAACTTTTTGAAAGTTCTATCTATTAATGGGAGGTTTAAGGTAACTATCATCCACCAGACGCATTGTGACAGTTACGCAGACCTCCGGGTCCTATTCTCTCATTTTAAACTATCAAACTGTGAAGCCTGTTTGTGTGTTCATTTCCGACTTATAGATGGAAAAAGTCATAAATAGAGTAAGAAGTAGAAAAAAGTCTCCCAAGGTGACATTCAAGTCAACAGTCCAGCTTGAACTACAATTCCACTCGGTCAGCCAGTTCAATAACCATTTATTGCACCGCTATGTGGTAGATGCCGCAGGGGGTTCAGAAATGAATGACACAGACCCTGACCACAAGAACGTGTGTGGTCTCAGAGAACATACGAAAGAGATGCAGAAATGGAAAGGAAAAAATACTCCTACAACACCAAGCAGAGTTCCAACAAGGGCCTTAAACAAGGCACAGAGTTCTCTGTGGGTTCTAAGACATCACCACCTTCGGTGAAGGGTGTCGCCTGGGATGCGCCTGTAAGAAAAAGTAGAAGATGGATGGAGGAAGATGGATTAGGGAAGAAAGAGCAGGAAGGATTTCAAAGAGTAACACATGGTACGTACTCAAGGAGCATCAAAGAGCCACATTTGGTTAGTGTTTAAAAACACACAGAGGAGAGAGAGGTGGGGAAGGAGATTGAGACCACGGGGTCTTGAAGGTCATGGTGAAGAGACTGTATTTAATGTGGGAGGGAAAGGGCTCAAGAATTTAGGGAAAGGGCTCAAGACTTTAGACCTCATGATGACAGCTGTTGATCAATTCATTCATCTTTATAAACACATTGTGTCTACTATAGGAGATATCTTTTAGAAAGCAAAAACCTGAGGTGAAACTAACAAAAAGTATCCACGTTATTTATATCTGTGCAATGAAAGTACAATTCCTACAGAGGAGAAATCTGTTTAGAGCAGCAGATTTCTATTAGCTTCTATTATCTTTACTCAAGCACATTCTTCTTGATAAGAACCTGTTTTTAAAGACCAGATTTCACAAAGGCACAAACTGTCCTAATAATAATAATTCCAACTCTCCATGTACACATCCATGAACTAAAAACCGTATCTCTCACATAAATGTCCTAGATCACATTTATGTCTCAGTCCAAACTAATCCTCAGGTTTCTACTTCTACCTATTCTCTAAAAGGAAAAGATTCACTTTTCGCATTTTTAAAATTTCCATATGCAGTCACAAGTGATAACTGTCATGTGTCCAATTATCTGATCCAAGTCTTTGGCTCTAGGTATACATGCAAACAGTTAGAAAATTTATACTAGTGACAATATGTCTCGGCAATGATACTCTCATAATAAACTCCACAAATTAGCATTAATTCAGACTAAGTTTTTTAACTCCAATGAAAGCAGAAAATAATAGAAAAATATCCAACGGGAAAAACAACAGAAATAAATATTCTGCTAAAACGAAACTACTTGTTTCTAGAACACAGCAATATTAGAAAGTATAAAAGTGAAAATTCCCTCGGGTCTTAAACTACTTTTGTTCTCTATATAGTGGTAATGAATTTCCTTGTTGCATTAAGTCAAATTTAAGACGAAGAAACAGGCCAAAATCGAACTACATATTTTAGGTCTTTTTTCATTTAAATTTTGGAATTTTTTTCAAGACATTAATACATCTTTCACCTTTGACACTGTTTTTCCATCAGTTTAGGATATAAAAATAAATGTATAATACAGAGGTGATTTGAGATTTATAAAATTTAGAATAATTCTAAGCTTTTTTTCTCTAAATATTGGCGTTGAGATATACTATATGAGCAAATACTTTTCAGATATGCATAGAGTACATTCAATCCTAAAATAAAATTCATTATATGATAATGAACTTTTAATAAGAGAGGTATTTTAAAGCTATATTCTTGAGAATTCCACAGTAATTTTTAATACTGTCCAACAATGATGCAAAAGAGGGCATATGGTCTTCTCCACTGTACTTATTATACCATGAGAATGTATTCAAAGTGTAGGTCTTTTTATGTAAGAGGCTGAATATTTAGTTAATTTCAGTGAAAACGAAAAAAAAAATCTCATTATAGTAAATTGCCACTCATTTAGAAAAGCTTAAATACCAAAAAACAGTGCAGATAGGAAAAACAAAATATCGAGGCTCATTAATCTGAGAGATTTGGGCAAGAATGGGAATAGAAGAAATTAGCAGTTTCTCTGCCCTCTGGTGGCAATAAAATCAACTGCAGCATGGCTAAAGTAATGCATAATAAAATGTCCCTGTTATGAAATCAGATTTTCCCCCATGCCAAAATGTCTGTAATAAAAACCCTGATTGCTACATGCCAAATTTCAAGACTTTTGGACTTTTCTAAATTTACGGTGTTGAACTTTTAGCTAGACTATTTTACAAAGGTAGCTATTATTTTTTTCTTCCATTGCAGTGCAATATTTTATGTAGTCAGTAGGCTAACCATTTAATTCCAAGGTTATTTCATAAAACTATAGGTAGAAAGATATCTAGAAAAGAAGTTACTTCAGTTTGTAATAAATTTCCAAAAAAACTGTCAAGAAATTTAAAACTATTCCTTTTTCACTCAATCCCACAAATGTACAGGTATCCAGAGTAATTTTCCACCAGAAATGTTGGATTTGTATATAATACCTACACATTTATGTTGAAAAATTTAGGTATTTTATATTTCCCAAAGGAAAGCCTTTTAATGATCCAGCCAATTTTAGAGTGCAGTGAATTTGACCCTCAGTTTGAGAACTTAGAATAGTAAATTTATTGTATATATTTTCTCAGTAATATATTATGAATGAAAAAAAAATGTGTATTGAGAAAAAATAAACACTTGCTGACCTTTTTTCTGTAAATGCATTATTTACTTCCAGTGCCAAAAAAGTTTTCAAATAAACAACTTGGGGTGCATTTTGGCACACACCACTCTAACCTCCTTTGGGATGAACTAAATTGCTTACATGCTTAAAGGAATTTATTTATCCCATGAATACGCCCATGAAAATTAGTTACCCCTTTTAAAATAAATGTGTTGCTTCCCGAAGGAGTAAAAGTCTTTTTTTTTTTCTTTAACCAATGAAACATATCAGAAATAAACAAAAGGTATGATCTTACTGATGTAAATAATACCTAGGCAAGAAAGACCGAAGTACATGTATGCAGGACAATCACATGTGACAAAGACAAATCATCTAGGAAATTTGCGTTTTATTCGCAGCTTTCAAAGTGTTGTCATCATGTTGCCCCCACGTCCCCCACCCCCTTCCCCAATCACGAATCGGAGCGGAGTCAGAATCTGTGCTTTCTCTAAGAATTTACACCAGGGACAGACAGTGTTTTGGCTGTCTTCCAGGCCTCAGCTTGGTAAAATTTCATTCGGAGACCTCCTTCAAGATCCACCTCACCTGGAATCCCCAGGTGCCCTCCCTAGCCTTCCATCTGCCGCTCTCACGTTTGACATTTGGGCACGCACACATACTTTCTGAGGAATCACTTTTTATTTCCCATCCCCTCAAAATTAAAAGAAAACCTTATTCGCCTAACCGGAAAGTTTGTTTCTTTTCCCTCCAAGCGTTTGTTTGTTTGTTTGTTTGTTTTGGTCATTTCACCTCTTCTCGAAATCCGAGTTCACAAATTTCTGACATGGTCTCTCTCAATCTCTCTCTGCCCGTTTCTTCACTTTCTTCCTGAGGGGCAGAAATGGGGAGCAGGCACCGGCTGGCAGTGGGCAAGGTCCTGGGGAGACGGCTGGACCTCCGGCTCAGCAGCGCCTCGCCAAGAGCAGCCGGCCAGCGGCGGGCAGAGGGCGGCTAGGCGGGCTCCGCGCTCACCCGGGGGCGCGGCTCCCAGCTGGACGCGCACCTGGCTGGAGCGGCCGCCGCAGCAGGAGGCGCAGCCACTGGGAAGATGCGGAGGCCGGGGCTCCGCTCAGGGGCAAAGTCAGGGCACTCGGAGGAACCCCGGCGTGTTCAGGCCTGTTTGCTAAGCCGACCAGGGGAGGACAATGGGGCCAGGTGTTGTCCCCAGAGGCGCGCCGCCCCACCTCTGCCGCCACCTACGCTCCAGTGCGCCCCGGCGCACCTACCCTGCCCCACATCCAGCACCCACTCTGCCCCAGCCAGCGAAAGGGAGCTAGCGTGGGGATCGCCCGGGGGAGAAAGGCGCGGACACTGGGAATATTCCCCAGCCGAGGAAACCTCTATAATCCCCGGCTGACATCACGTCCCCATCCACAGCCCCCATCCCGCACTCGCTTAGTTCATCCCAGCAGCAA